ATAAGTAAGTCCCATCCCTTTAATTTAATTTTACACCACTTGGACTCTTCAAAAACATCCTATCCCTGTACCCTCGCCTGGCTGGCTCTTAAGGTTTTGCCTAGCGTAGATAACCACACCCCTCCTGCAAGTTTCTTGAGAAAGGTTCGTAAAGAGTCATATCCAGCAATGCTGAACTCACATTCCTCTGGGTCGATTCTCCTGTTCTTGTACAACAGTTCTACAACACCTACAATATCTGGTTGGTGTACACTTAGTAGTGTTTCAAACTCCTCTCTCTTATCAAGGAACGTGTCAGTATTAGTGTACATGACATTCAAGCCAGAATTTTTTCTCGGTAACGTCTCTGCTCTTAGTAATAAACCCGCTCCCCCCACATTCTCAGAAGCTGCAGCATTTGCTAAGTACACCGTATTTTGCAGGGTGTGGTTAGAAATGTCATTGTTTACACGGCGCTCGCCTCCTCCTGTCCGGTAGGCTGAGCTGGTGCCGCCTCCCGGGTGGGGGGGTTGAGTGGGTGGAGGGTGCACTGCTGCCCCCTGGCTCTGTGTCGGCACACTTGTTTTCACTACCCTCCCCCTGAGTATAACCCATGTACAACTGTCCCCGTGCCTCCTCGACTCCTCCCTCTTCTGCTCAAGTCCTGCAGGAGCTTCTTGTGCTGTTCCCTCTGCATTACCGTGCGATTACCACCCCGTTCCAGAATATGGGTTCAAATATCCAATACCTTGAGCAATTGTGTTAAGCAGGAGCGCCCCAGCATAAAACCGTGTTGGCAATCCTTTACAAGGTTGTTTCGTAGTAGACGTTCCATTGCGGCATCTCTGATAATACTCTCAAGTACTTTATATATTATGCTGGTCAGGCTCACCGGTCTATAGTTGTTCGTGGAGTGACGATCGCCCTTCTTGAAGATAGGACTCACATACGCCACTTTCCATTCACTGAGGTCCTTTTGTTCATCCAGGCATTTACAAAACAGGATCTTCAGGGGCTCGGCAAGCTCGTTGCACAACTCTCTTAGCACTCTAGGATGCACCATGTCAAGGCCGGGACTCTTATGGACCATTAGCCTGAACAGTTTATTTCTTATACCCTCTTCTGTGAACACAATGTGGGTCAGTGTTGTGTCGAACCGTCTGTCCTCAAACGCAGGAAGGTTAGTTGCATCCTCTCTTGTGAACAGCGAGGAGAAGAAGCTGATCAATGCCTCAGCTTTATCCTGGTCAGAATCTGCGTAACTAACATCTTCAAGCCTCAGGTCTGATACTCCTACTCGCGTTTTTAATTTAGACTTTGCATAGCAGTAAAACGCCTTTGGGTTTGACTTGACCCCGCTTGCAACCAGCCTCTGGAACTCTTTCTCAGCCCTTCTACACCCTATCTTTGCTTGGTTTCTGGCTCTTGCATACAGTACATCCTCATGTCCTGCTCATCGTTTGACCCAACCCACGTCTTGAATTTCTGGGTTTTCTTCTTAACTCTGTCGACCGCCGCGTGTTTCATGTGTAGGGATCCCCTCGTATTCCTAGAGGGACTGGGTTTGGTCTTGGGTATATATTTATCGATCAAATGGGTCACTTTACTAGTTATGATATTCAGCGTAGTGTCTGCGTTCTTGTGCCTTAATGAGTCAGGCCAGTTGATACCCCTCATCTCTTCCCTCTTCTCGTTGTAATTTCCCTTGCAATATTTGCACCTTGGCCTGGCCTGGCCTTATCCTGAACTAGGTGACAGTTAAATCAGAATGACAACACTATATGGTGACTGGTGCCAACTGGGGCAAGGTGTTCCAGTTTGGCCACCATACCCTCCTCGTTTGTTATGATGAGGTCAAGTGGCTTGGGTGTTTGCTCCCCTCTGTAATGTGTCGGGTCTCTAACATGCTGGAACAGAAAATTATCTCTCAGAGTTTCTACAAAAAGAGTCGCAGGATTATTCAAGTCATTTGGGGTGAACTCTTTTCTCCAGTCGATGTCGCCATAGTTAAAGTCCCCCATGATAAGGAGGTGGCTAGGGTTGAGCATCGCCGCATTGTCTATTAAGGCTCTTAAGTTCCTTTGATTTAGTGAGCCACAGTTTGGGGATCTGTAGATACACCCAACAACAAGTAAGTCCCCTCCCTTTAATTTAATTCTACACCACTTGGACTCTTCAAAAACATCCTCTCCCTGTTCCCTCGCCTGGCTGGCTCTAAGGTCTTACCTAGCATAGATAACCACACCCCTCTTGCAAGTTTCTTGAGAAAGGTTCGTAAATGAGTCATATCCAACAATACTGAGCTCACATTCCTCTGGGTCGATTCTCCTGTTCTTGTACAACAGTTCTACATCTCCTATAATATCTGGTTGGTGTGTGGGGTACGGGTTGTTTGGTTCACACTCAGGATGGGATGGAGAAAGGAAACTCACAATGTGCTCTCTGTATACATATTGAATTCAGTGGCGGCTCGTGAAAAATAATGGAGGGACTGCAAGCCTCACACAACAGTAGGATACACAAATTTGACCTACCTCAGGTATGAATTGTAGTTGATGTCCACGAATTCCCAGGGCATGGTAGTAGTGTTGGTGGTAGAAGGGATGGCCGAGGTGGTGATGGACCAGTATTAATTGAAAATAAAGTCGGCGTGTCTGCTCTTCGATGTAGCAAAATTGTTTATTACTATTTCATTAAAATCCTTTATTTCTGTTATCATTTTATTTTCAATGGATATCACTGCTAAAGCAGACAGTCTGTCATTCACCATAGTACTGCGCAAAAAAGTTTTAATTCTCTTCAAAGTTGAAAAGCACCTTTCTGCTTCTGGTGTAGGTCTTGTAGTGGACGTCTCCCCTACAAATTGCGTAGCAGCCCACCACCTGCTATCACATTCCAACGTGCCGTTGCCTAGCAACGAAACTATTCACCGGCGACTTCTCGGGTTTTCCCAACATGACTCATAGCGGCTGCTGGGTATATAAGCTCTGTCTCTCCATTGAGATTCATTCTCACCATTCTTCTTGAACAAGCAACACCTCCTCCTCCGCCGCTGCCTGGCGGCCCCTCGCTTCTCCTCGCCTGCCTGGCGGTCCTCGCTCCCGCCAGCGAGCATGTCCTTCTCTGAGCTTCCTCACCAACCAACTCTCATTCTGGCCCATCTTCCTGAACACGCAACACCTCCTCCAGCAAGCTCCTAGCTATCCAGCTTTCATTCAACCAGGAGGCCAGCAACAGGCAACATCTTCTCTAACAAAGCTCCTGCACATCTACCTCCTTCAACACGCTACTCACCGAACGTCTTCTACTGAGCAGCTCCCCACCACACGGCATCTCCAGCACCAGACTGTCTTCATATAACTTATATATTATACAAGAAAACCACATTAGAGTTTCCTTCCATCCTGAGTGCTCGACAACATTAATATCTCGATACCCCTACAGTCTTCCTCTTGCTTTGATTTCAGTCTTTTCATTTAATGTCAGCTGGGAAAAGTTGATGTTTTGCAAATACTTCACTCGATTTTCCATCGTCAAAGGGTAATTAAAGAAAGCACGATTTAACCACACCGTCCACACGCAATGTAAACACGTTGTACGAGACTGAGCTGCTTCAAGTGCAGCTCATTGTGCGGCGGCGGCGGCGCCAATTAATAACAGACATGAATCGTACAGCATTGACAGCAACTATGAAAGTAACTTAAATTTTGGTCTGATTTTAATGAAAATTCACTTAGCAACGTATTGAAAATAATTAAATAACATATAAAATGATATATTTGTTGGTAGTGTATTATTCAGCTGTCTCTCTAAAGGAATCATATGCCTGGCAGTGAGTGTCTGGGGGGACTGCAGCTCTGCAGCCCTATGCACGAGCCGCCACTGATTGTATTGGATGTACAGTGCAGCTTGGTGCTGGGAAGTGGCAGCATGGTTACAAGCGTTGAGTAGAGAGAGCTGGTTGGTGAGGGTGCTCAGAGGAGGACCAGCTTGTGGGTCGCCATGGTCGCTGGCGGGGGCGAGGGCCGCCAGGCAGGAGTGGAGGAGGTGTTGCTTGCTGGTTGGTGTAGGTAGAAAGAGAGCGGTCACCACGAGGTCAGGTCTTATATAGCGGAGGTAGGCGTGGCTTAATAGTTGACCTCTGTCATGTAAGGCGGCGCTGGTTGACCTAAGCCACGAGGCATACACTGGGGAATTCGCGGGGTCGGCTACTCAGCGACAAACGTTTGTTGGGGAGGAATCCACTACAGGTCACAGCTCAAGGTTGAAGAAGTCACAAGTCCAGAAAACTGAGAGGGCAAACTTTTTCAGAGTGAGAGTTGTGAACTCTTGGAACAATCTGCCAGAGAGCGATGTGACGGCACCGAGTGTGAGGTCATTCAGTGCCAAACTTGACCAACACTGGAGCAGGTTCCCATATATTCAGGAGTCAGTTTATGTGCAGTACTTGCCAACAGTGCGGAACGGAGACATGACCGACCTCCCAAGCGGCTAACGAGTCGATCATTGGAGAAGAGGATAGAAGTAAAAGGGTAAATTAAAGGTAATACGTAAGGAAATCATACCCAAATTGATGCAATATATTCTAGAAAACTCTTACGTACGTAATACATCAATATAAACAAGAAAATCTCCACAAACTTGCCAAAATAACTGCAACTTGTAACAGAAAATAATCAGAACACCTAGTTCACAAAATTCATAATACTAAATTACGCCTCGGCATAACAGTACGTTATGGCGGTGAGCCTTGCTTGCTTTTGAAAATATACATGGTTTAAACTTCTGCCATGCTTACCAACATATCTACTTACCTATTATTGTCCTTTGGGATGTAATGAAACCTCAGGTCTCTGTCGTTGTTTTTATTCTTACCGTAAGCGATCGCCCAAGCGGCTAACGAGTCGATCAGTGGTGAAGAGGATAAAAGTAAAAAAGTAAAAACTACACAACACACCCGAGTAACCCAGCCCAAGCTTCAACACACAGCCGACGCAACCTCCTCGCCACTGATCTGCCACCTTGTGGATAGTAGTAATAGTAGCACTTCGAGGATAGCTTTAAGATATGCTTCCTTTTATATATTTTCCTTGGGTTCGCCCATTGGAGTGAGCCATCTCCTATAGTACAGATTCCTTGTACAGGCACTTCACTATTGTAGGCACTGTAGCACAGCAGTGAGGTAGCTCGATGATGCAGGTTAATGGTTTTATGAGTTCCCTAGCCGGGGCAGCGTGGAAGGTAATTTACATGTGCTATATAACATACTACGTAATACATAATTTAGTATTTGTTTTACAAGTTGTCCATAATGTCCCACAATATTTTTGGATCCACTTCTACCGTATAGGTATATCTCGTCATTTCTAACGACTTTTCTTAGTTACTCTTTTGAGAAAATCGCATTAATTTGTTATATTATGGGCAACTTGTGAAGATTAACCCATAATTAAACAACGGAAGTCAAAAGTTTGATAGCTTAATACAATTTAGAGTGAATGTTTACGAAACCGTTATCACTAAAAGTTGTTTATTGATTTTCTTTATCTTTGCTGTACTTGTTGTTTTGGTGATTTTAAGTATATGAAAAAAAACTTTATTATTATTTTAAGTATTTTTTTTTTATTTACTCTATCCTGCTTCACAATTCTCCTCCCGGCGCCGTTTTTGTTGTTTACCTCGCTGAGTCCTCCTTCAAGAGAGTTTTCCTATAAATGATGGTGAACGCTTCCACTAATTCCTCCTCGCCATTGCTGATTTATATCAACTTCAATATTAAGGCAATTTGTTTAACACACAAATTAACACGATAATGCATAGAACCTAATAGAACCTGACCTAACATACCCAACCTATGGGTTTGTTGGGTCAGGTTCTATGTAATGTCGTTTCCATTTCTATGTTTAATATTATGTTAATAGTGTGTACAAAAAAATTAAGCCAAATCGCACATTTCCTTTTGGTGATAACGGTCTTGTAACGGTCCGACTAATTACCCAAATGTACCCAAATGTAGCTGCAATGAAGTCAAATAATGGTCCTGCATGAATAAATTGGACTGCCAATCACTTCTCGATTATTATTTGGTGTCACAAAGTCACAAAAAATTGGTAAACTTAATTTAATCTGAGATGTGTTAGGTTAGGTTAGGTACAGGCACTCAGTCTATTAACTCAGATTAAATTAAGTTTACCAATTTTTTGTGACTTCGTGACACCAAATACTAGTCGAGGTTAGGTTAGGTTAGGTTAGGTACATGCACTCGATCTATTAACTCAGATTAAATTAAGTTTATCAATTTTTTGTGACTTTGTGACACCAAATACCAGTCGAGAAGTGAATGGCAGTCCAATTTATTCATGTAGGACCATTATTTGACTTAATTGCGGCTACATTTGGGTAATTAGTCGGACCCGTTTTGTAAACCTTTACCTGATTTAGCTGGCTTTTGCAGTTAGGCCTCATATAAATGTAGGCAGAGGGTCAGCTGCACTCTGAGTGGTCCAATTATTGTTAACAGTATATTCCTTTTTGTTTACCACTTGCTGTTATGTTAAGTATTAAAGGTAAGGAAGTGACTATTGAGTGAAGTTGGACTGTAAAATAGCTCAAGAGCTATTGAGCATGGTCTTCTGGTAAAATAGATTAAGTGGTGGATATTTTGCATGACCGGCTAAGTTTCTATTAACACTATTTTACCGTGAGTGTGCTCTGATTGGTTAAGTACTTTCTCTTTAATATGATGGGGGGTGGGGTCCGCCTCCTGGCTAGGAAGTTAGGTTAGGTAGGTTTCTTTGGTTGGTTAGGTCAGGTTCTAGTAAATGTCGCCTCTTTTATAATGATAAGTTTACATGGACAACAGAAACATGGTTAGGTATGTTTACAGCTGCACAGCAATCGACTCACGGTGAAATAAATGCCAAATGCTGCCAGTCACGGTCAAATATATTTCTTGCGTTGTTTGCAGGTAATGGACAATTAACCAATCAGAGCGCACTCACGGTAAAGTAGCATCAGTAGAAACTTAGCCAGTCACGGCAAAATATCCACTGCCAATAGATTATAGAGCAGCATTGTTCATTGTTTTAATGGTAATCATTGAGCAAAAGACAACACCAGAAGGCATTGTTCAATTTATTTCATTTTTTCAACAGAACCTGATCTAACCTGTGATCTAGCCATACAAAGCAACTGTTAATATTGCAGTAAACAGCAACCACAGAATTCCATAAACTCACTACACTCAATCGACAGAACTATTTTTTTCTATGATCATTTTCTTACATTACATTAGGTTAGGTAACACATTTTTTTTATCAGATTCTTTGGTTGCTGTAATATGCATTTTACCAAGAAACTTACCTAACCTTACCTAACTTCCTAGCTGACCCCCCTTAACCCCCACCATATTAAACAGAAAGTGGCTTATATAGACGACTTCACTGCCATCGCTTTATTTGTTTTGATGTTAAATTCTTAATATATTTTCATCAGTGTCCTCTGATATGATAATAATTTTGGAGGAAATTGCTTTGTTTGGTAGATAATTAGGCGACTAGGCGCGTACTACTTTGTGTTTCTCGGCGTGATGCAGCGGTACACGACCAGTCATTTTCAATCAACGCTCGTCTCCAGTGTATGTTTATGAGCGATACAGATTGCGTCTACTCTCTTATCCATAAAAAACATAAAATTACACCATATCATAGTAAGTTGTTTCTGTTTAATTGCTGTGGGGTCCAGAGGATGGGGCCTCACATCAAGGAAGTTAGGTAAGGTTAGGTTGGTGAGGTCTTCTAACAACGCTTCTGCCGCTTGTTTCTCTTGTCAACTAAGGTTAGGTTAGGTTTAATTTAGAAATAACCATCTTTTAACACATTTTCCTTTACTACGACAAGTCTCCACTATAAAACTCAGTGAAATTGTTGCATTTTTAAATTAATTTACTATGAAAAATCAGCAGCTGTGAAGTTGTAAATAATTACCCAGAAAGTATTTACCTTGATATCTGGTACCAATGAAAGCAACTTAATTGAAGCGGCATGGAAACAAAGGGCGGACAACAACACGCACTGACATGGCAGATTTTTCAGAGGAATATTTACGGTAAATAAGGAATTTTTCCACATTTTTTGAATTGTTGTATCATTTTTATTACTTAATATCATCCAAAGAACATGTGGAAAAAATGAATGAAATCTATCAACATGTTCTGGTGTTAGCCATCTGCTCCTGATTACCATTTTTATCAACAATAGACCTTACCTCACCTACTGTAAACTAGACTTAGGTCAAGTAAGGGACCTGGCTCATTAGGTAAGGTTAGGTTAAGTAAGGTTTATTGTCGTTAAAAACAATAAATAATGCTGCTGTAGATTATTTATCAGGTGACCCGACTTAATAGCTCTTGAGCTATTTTACCATCCGAACCAACACGGTAGTCTCTTCTTAAAGCTAAAGATTCATTTTATGCCCGAACGCGAATTCTTTTGTTAAATATTATTTTATTTTATTTTTCATTGTGATTGAAAGTACTGTATCTGACCATAATTTTTTGGCGCTAAAAGTTATTTATGGAAATATGACCCCTTTAACAATAGCAACGGCAATGATATCTTTCATAGTGGACAGGGCTTTGATGATGAGGGAAAATGTGGGGCTAAAGCACACACACACTAACACACACACACACACACACACACATACACACACACACACACACACATACACACACACACACACACACACACACACTAACACACACACTAACACACACACACACACACACTAACACACACACACACACACACACTAACACACACACACACACACACACTACCACCACCACCACTTTGCTGTCACTCATAATCAAGTATGACGATCATCCAGCTATGATACAATGATATGAGTTATTAAGGATGTCACCTAGGTTGGTGAATTTTGAGGTGACTAAAGAGGCCGATGATGACCCACAGCGTTGTCTACATTCGTTGCACGTGTGGAGGGCTGCATCTAGTGCGGGAGGGGCGGTGGCATCGTCTTTCTGGCGTTGGTGCTTGTCTGCCTCGGTTTGCAGTCGGGCTAAATTGAAAGTATTGACAACTTCTCGTGCGGTGCTCCTCCAGGCATTACGATGTGGAGTAATCAACTCCCAGGTGAAGAGGTCGATTTGGCACTTTTTCAGGTTTGTCTTAAGACTCCTTATACCTTTTCAATTGCGCTCCAGCGTTACGTTTACTATTCGTTAGGTGAGTGTAAAGTAGCTGCTTTGGCAGCCTACTGTCGTTCATGGATAATGGCAGCCTCGATGCTCCTACAGTTGGTGTCAGCAAGAAAACTGGCATTTGTTCTCTTGTCTTCCCAGTAAACTCGGAAGATGGAACGTAGACTATGTTGATGAAATTTTTCAAGTGCCTTGAGGTGCTTCCTGTATGTGACCCATGTCTCACTGCCATATAGCAGGGTGGGCAGCTTTGTAGATAATATCAGCTCCCTACAGCTGACGACACGGTTTCGGAGTCTGCCAAAGGCTTGAGATGCACATCTGATACGGTGTTGAATCTCTTCATCGATGTCTGCGGTGGTGGACAGGTGGGAACAGAGGTATTGAAAGCGGGTAACAATAGAGAGGGTAGTACCATTATGCTGGATGGATGGTTGTGTGTCTGAACCAGGGGCAGGCTGAAAGAGAATCTGAGTCTTACGTACATTCACTTCAAGGCCGAAGTGTGCATACGAGTCTGTGGAGGTGTTTAGGATCTCCTGTAGGTCACATTCAGTGTGAGCAACAAGGGTGAGGTCATCTGGATTCTGAAGTTCAGTAATAGAAGCTGCCGACACCTTTGTTCTTGCCTGGAGTTGTCTTCTGTTGAAAAGACCCATGTGAAAAGAGTAAGGAAGGCAGCCAAGAAAATGGAGATGAGAGTTGGTGCCAGTACACACCCTTGTTTAACCCCTGTTTGGATGGGGAACTCATACTGGGTGCCATTGTGCAGGACACTGCTGTTCATGCCATTGTGGAGTTGCCTCCCAATGATTCCCTGCTAAATGTCAGTATCTCTGCCAACTCTGTCAATGAATTCACCAAGGAGCACAACCTCATCTTCTCTGGGGATAGTGGTTAGCAATCTGTCAAGGTCGGCATAAAGGGCCTCCTTGATGTCATCCTCTGCACCCAGTGTTGGGGTATATACACTGATGAAAAAGGCATGATGTGAGTGATTCAGTGGGACTCGAAGCGTCATGAGGCGCTCGTTGATCCCAATAGGCATTATAGTTAGCCTGTGTAGGATGCGTTGGTGGATGGCAAAGCAAACCCCATAAATGCTGTTTCTTTCCGTATCAGGCTAACCCTTCCAGAAGAAGGTATAGCCAGACCCCTGTTCTGTGAGTTGGCCCTCATCTGGGAGCCGGGACTCACTAATGGCTGTTCTTCTTTCAGGACGCTCATTTGTGCCAGTATCCAGAAGGGTCCTGACATTCCATGCAGCGACCATAAAAGGTTGCTTGGTTTGTTTTTGTTTGGATCTGTGATTTTGATTATGTTTTCGACCGCAGAAGGATGACCTCACTGGGTGCGATTGCCCATTCATGTTTGGTTTTTAGGCAGGCTATGTTTAGGGCACCTTTTCTACCCCATGTGGGGTGAGCAGAGTGGCTCCTCGAAAGGGCTGCTCAGTCGGACAGACAGGAATGGATTGTACTGCTGCCTAGATCCCAGTGCATAAACGACCATCTTATTTGTGCCGCCCATGTGCAGAGTTGTGACTAAAGACTCCCGGCGGTCATCTCTGTCTGTCCCCGTCACCACTCGTCCGTCGCCATAGGACTTTTGGGGGTATAGGGGTATTGATGACGATGAGAAGCTGGATGATGGCTGCGCGGGAGTTGATTTATGTGATGAGGCAGGAGCGCAGGCTGCAACCACACATCTTGGCTCTCCCTTTTCCTGTTCCGGTTGGTGCAAGTAGTTGCCATGATTGGGGAGAGAGAGTTGCAATGGACTACCGATAGCCCAGTTTGTTGGGTTTTTCCTTAGTAGCCTGTCCATCAGGCATTGCCTTCATCCGCTGGTGTAGTCGTTGGGTTTCCATGGTAGTCACCTCTTCCGCCTAAACTGCCATTGGGGTCTTGTTGGAGCTCTGTGAGCATGTATGACTGATGCAGGGCTCCGCAGATTTTTCCTTAGTGGTTTACTCCCGTAGCCTTATACCTACCAGGGTTAATCCGCAAGGCAGCGGGGCAATGGCTGGTAGGCGCCAGAACGTGTCCACATGCCAGTAGGCCTATGTGCCGTCCCTCTGGGCCCCACTGCTACTCCGAGATCCCCTGCTGGTCTAGCCTGGGCCCAAGAGGCACCCAGTTACCATGTGTTGCCACTAGGAGGCACAGCAGGAGTCTTGATGGTGAAGAGGCTGTGTACTGGCAGGGAAAGACTTATGCATGTTGCTTCCCAGTTCGCCACGAGGGCTAGCCAACGGCGGCAGCTGAAAGCGAGAGGAAGCAAGTAGTGCTTACACCTTAAAACTAACATAGTGCTGCCACACTAGACGCATTTCACCACCCTGTGTGTGACACACACACACACACACAAAAGACACCAATAGAACCTTTGAGAACCCAACCTAACATTTCCTAACCTATATTATAACTAATTTGACCCAAATTCTTGCTAAAGATAATGAAAAAGGACAACCATGGAACTTGATGCTGATCTGTATACATAGAGGGACATAGAGCAAAAAAATAATAATTAAGAAGATTTGTAACCAGGTGAGAAGGCCGGGTCACCTGACCATCTGACCTGACCACCAACCATTGTGTGCTATTTAAAGATTAGTAGGGTCATTACCTAATACCTGACTATTGTGGACCTGGTCTCACCCTCCTCTGTATATATACACCTTAATTTGTATTACTCTCTCTAGTCTGTACTCACCCCTGAAGATGTGAATTACACGAAAGCGCTTGGGAACTTCGTGTTTTCTTCTTTCCTTGTGGTTATCAGCATATACCTGGATCACGCGCACCTACAGTGATTTACTTGTGTGTGTATATATATATATATATATATATATATATATATATATATATATATATATATATATATATATATATATATATATATATATATATATATATATATATATATATATATATATTGATATTGATTTAAGGGCAATTTAGGTGAATTTTAGGAATGCTTCTGACTTTCTGCTTATTGGTTTTACATTGTATATACAGTAGAAGTCCAAAAATCCGGACTGCTTGGGGATTGGGTCGGTCCGGATTTTCGGATTTTCCGGATTCTCAGGCAGTACTTTTAAAATTCAAATTTAATGAAGAATAAAGAAGAAATGAACAGGTACATTTTGATAGTTTATTCATTTGCAAATATAGCATGCTTCATTTATCAAAACGAGCGGTTTTAATGAAAAAGCTGTGAATTCTAAATTTTATTCTTTGCCTTTTATATATCATAAATTGTAGACTTTCCAATGTCGTATGTTTCCATTAGAACAGTATTGCTCACACCACGATCTAGTTTCTTAATTATTTCAAGTTTGTCACTCAATTTCAATGTGTTCTTCTTTCTCTTCACACAACGAAGTTTATCTACTTTAGGAGCCATTATTATGGGCTTGTACAGTACTCTGTAAATGGAAAGAGTAGGACTCAAAATTACATACGTTGTCACAGTTTGATTGCTCATTTTAAAGTGGCGACCGCGTGGTCACTTGTTGTCGCTGTGCAGCTGTGGCGCTCACGCATGCGCACATACACACAAAAGCCAGCTAAAAAAAAAAAAAGTTTGAGTTTTCGAAAAGTCCGGATTCTCGGGTGGTCCGGATTTCTGGCATCCGGATTTTTGGACTTTTACTCTATATATATATATATATATATATATATATATATATATATATATATATATATATATATATATATATATATATATATATATATATATATATATATATATATATATATATATATATATATATATATATATATATATACATACAATCACACACACACACACACACACACTCACACACACACACACACACACACACACACACACACACAAACAATCATGTGCCGGTTAACGTCCTAGATAAGTTCTTAGAAACGTGACGTTAACCGAAATGGACGTTGTCCAATCATCACATAAACTTTGTCTTTATACTTACTTGTATGTGGAATAGTGGAATACTATATACGTACATATACACTCTTACTCTTAAATCACTACTGTAATGTGATACAGGTGATTAATTTTTATCTCTTGTGCAAAATACATGACGTTTATATTAAAATTATTCAGTCTTACAAGGATTCCAGCAATCCTGGGCAGATGAGGGAGAGGGAGGGAGGGAGCAAGGGGGCGTGGGGGGGAGGGGAGCGGGAGGTGAGGTAGTACGTTGGACAGTTGGCACAGGCCCAAGGTCTAACGTGTGGTTATTTATCAGTTCTTAAGTGACTAAGGTTCTCTTATAAAACGCCAGTGAAATGACCTGGGTGAATATAATTTACATTGCTGGGATTCTTCTTAAGATGGTGATTATTTTAAATATAAACAACCTATAATTCGCACTAGACATAGCGATTTTAGTACCGTAATCAAATTAGTACATGTGCACTTCAGCTTTGCACTAAGGTCTTTTATTTCTTTTACATTTCTTTTAGTATGGTATGTGCATGTAAATGGATGAAAATAAATCAAGAAATTTATGTAAATCTACCCAAAAATACAGTTGAAAAACTTTATATTATAAAATGTACTACAGTATTGTACACTAATGTACTACAATTTTTATCTCTTGAGCAAAATATATGACGTTTATATTCAAATTAATCTTTGTCTTGCAAGGATTTCAGCAATGCAAATTATATTCTCCTTTAGTCTGAGATATTATATGAAAAATTTAAGGCCTAAAATCCCCCACGCGAGGGAGCGTGGGGGGGAGGTATGGTGATAAGATTTGACAGTTGGCGCTGAAGGCCTGCTTGTTTATTTATCATTACTTAGAGTGACTAAGCTCTTCTCATAATTTGCCACCCAAACGACCTGGGTGAATATAACTTACATTGCTGGGATTCTTTTAAGATAGTGATTTATTTGAATATCTGTATAAAACAAGCTATATTTGCAATAGACATAACAATTTTAGTACCCCAGAATCATGTAGTACAGTAAGCAGGTTTGCACTTAGTCCATTATTAACCGAGGGACTGTATTGCAGTGTACTTTGTACTGCATAATATTGACTAAATTACCACATAACGCATACACCAATGGTTGGTAAAAACTTGCTGCGTAAGTGATGTCAAGTCTGTCAGTATGAGTGCTTGTGTGAGTGATTGTGTCCCCCATCATAGGAGTCCGTTTTCTCAGTCCTCGTTTTCTCTCAATCTTGGAGTGCACCATAGACTTCGTTATTTCTTAGTAATGACAGGAATTTGAAATTGTAACCCCAGTTGCAACTGGGGTTGCAATTGTTGAGGCAACTAGATATGTCTGATTACAGCAAATGTGTTATTGTCAATTTGTAGGTGAAAGATTTTATCCTCAATAGCTGTAGGTTAACATTGCACCTGGAGGCAAATGCTTACTAAAGCCTAAGGAAGGAAAGACATTCCTTTAACACATAATATCTGGCCAGTATGGGGAGGATCATCTTGTCTCCGTCAGGGGGTTGTGGAGTGGTGGTCCAGCAGGCGTCACGGAAGTGTTTTTTTTTGGGGGGGGGGCGGGGGGACACGGACGTATATGCGATCGGACGTTGTTCGTTTGGACGTTAACCGGCGCATGACTGTATATACAGTATACAGTAAGTGTCTATAGATATAGTTGTCCTTAGGCTTCAACCACCTAGTTCCAGGTTCAATCATGTAATGGGAATTTAGGGCTATTCCTTCATTTTTCATGGTGAGGTAAATAAAAAAGAACCATGAACCAAGGAGAGTTTTACAGAATCATAATAAAATATCAGAAGTAACTTAAAAAGACAGTAAGATGAACAAAAAACAACATACTGTAATGAGAAGTAAGAGACATCACACAGTGATATGATAAACTGTATTTTAGGTTGCTACGTCTATTGATATCACTTTTATGACCCATAGGCCGTGAAGCCTCACATCCCAATGATCAAGTTCCGCAAAGGAGGGCTTACCGAACTTGGTAAGTACATTTATTTTATAATTTAAATTTCTAAATACAGTACATGTAAACAAACAATTAGCAGGTGTGTATCACCTGGCAAATGTTACCTGGTGAAAATTTAATAATTCAAGTTGTGATTTTAAAATAGCCCAAGGATATATTTTTAAGGTTAATACAGTACTGTACTACTAGTTTGCTTGTAATAACATCAATAGTGCAAGTACCATTCTTTTGTATTATTAGAACCCAGAACTACATGTGTGTAGTATTAATACAAGAACTAGATTGACATATCTGGTTTTTATTGTCTGTTTCCAGTTCTATACTGTACCTTCCCATTAAAGATGTTCCATACTAACAGGCAGGATAATTTAAAAATTGCAGCATTTAAATAAGAAGCATGTTGTTTATTATTGAGAACTTGTCACTTTAAGTCAAATCCTCATGTTCAGTACACAAGTGTGCAGCACTATGCATGTAGAGCAGTTAGAAAAACATATATTTTAAAAAGAGATCCGTATTTTAAAATGACTTTTAGGATTTAAACTGATTAATATAATGAAATGCTCTCCACTAACCAGATCATGTAATGGTATTACTAGTCCTCATGTTTCGTTACCCTAGACCTTTGTAGATGGTAGTGTAGTCAACTCTTTGGGAAAGAAAATAAGTTGGTCTATAAGGGGCGATGCACTGTCTTGGAATCCTAGGTGTCCTCTTGTTGCCATTATTAAAAGGAGATGCCGGCTAGTTCTCCCTAACAGGAGCTTAAATCCTGCACAACTGTCTGTCATTTTAGTAGTGATTACAGGAATTTCTATATAACTGTGGTCAGCTGGGGGGTAGGCATGCTGTCATTCAATTGAGGTGGGCAGGAATAGCGAAAATGTAACAGTTAGTTTCACTACTAAGGCCTCTCAGACAATAATAACAATTCTGAGAATGGCTACAAGGGAGATTATAGAGCTGATTGAAGAGAGAACGTTTTAAGGGTCGAATGCATCGGGTTAGTCGGAGTATCAGTGTGGTATTCCATTTAACCCTAAGAAGTGTTCAGGAAAGAAGGTAATATTTACTCCAGTGAATATTGTTAGGAAATTAATTTTTAATCATTTGGGGTTTATAGAGAGACCCGTATAGAGAGGAAATCAATGAGCAATTCCTGTGAAAATGACGAAAACGGCTCTTGTAGAGAGAACGTAGCGGAAGTGTGCTACTACGTAATATGTATCGTGGAGAATAATATCAAGAGAAGAATTGGCAAGTCCTACACCTGCTTTTAGTCATCGTGTGAGAGATCGGATGAGGAAGAGATTCAATTTAAAAATGCAAAGACTGAGACACTTTCTACTACAATTGGCATAACTTTATGGTTCGCACCACAGATTTATGAACGTTGTTCGTAAAATAATCCTGGTCGATTAACCATGAATTCGATTTGGTTTAGATGTTCTGGAATTGCGTAAGCTTTTACTCCTAAAGCAGGTATGGTTCAAGAGTGAATGACGTCGGCAGCAGGTACAGTAAGTCCTTGCTTAACATCGGCCCGCATAACGTTGTTTCGGTACTACGTTGCTAAACTTACTTTCAGAGACTAAACATTCGTTTAACGTCCCGGTTACTCGGTACAACATCGTTTGAGTGTTCACGGACTCCTTTTTACCTTTTTCACAACTATGTATGTAGGCTGGTGTGTGCACGAAGAAAGTTACTATATCTACCGAAAAATAAGTTGAAAAACACATACAGTGGTCCCTCGGTTAACAAACACGATTCGTTCCACAGAGTCGTTTGTTAACAGAAAATTTTGTTAACCTAATCTCTTATTTTAATGGGATATTGGGTATTTTGGTTCCTACTAACAGAAGAAGTACATACAAAGTACTGTATGCCAGTAATGGAATTAACAAAACATTAAATATAATCTAAATACAGTACTGTACTGTACAGTATACTGTATAATAATAATAAATAAAAAAACAATAGAATGCTGTATTTTAACTTACTTTGAGGTGTGTATGTCGTTTTACCGGCAGCTTTGTTTACGTATCAAACAGCTGATTGTAGAGGCAGTCAATGATGACATGCCATATTCTTTACAGACTTCATTGGTTCTAATGCCTTCTTCGTGTTTCATAATAATTTCTGCACTGTATATTATCAATATGCTAACTAAATTTCCGAATGACCAATAATTTTAATGTAAAAATGCAAAAATATTCAAGAGACCAACAAAATCGATGTTCACGCCACCGTAAACAAAGTTAAACTGAGAAGCGTTGTTGGGTGATTCAATCAGCTGATGGGCGCACAAAAACTGTTCCCTGTACTGTCTATGTTATCAATATGTTAACTAAATTTCAGAATGACCCATAATTTTAATATAAAAAATGCAGAAATATTCAAGAGACCAACTTTCTTGATATTTACTTCACTGGAAAGGAACGTAAACTTAGAACCAATTACTGTATTGGTGAACTAGCCGATCAGCTGATGCGCACAACAAAACGTGTTTGTCGTAAGGATTTCGTTAATCAAAGTTTTGTTCGTTAATCGAACTGAAAATTCTTATGTGAGCTATTTCATTAATCGAACCGTTCGTTAACCATGGGACCACTGTACACTATTTAAATGTACTTAAGGGACTAAAAATTTTATCTCTTGTGCAAAATAGATGATGTCTATATTCATATTATTTGCTGTCTTGCAAGGATTCCAGCAATGCAATTTATATTCTGCTAACTTTAGTCTGTGAAATTTTATAAGATAATTTTTTTTAGCCTAAACAACCTTCAATCTTGCCAGAAGTGCGGAGGGGGAGTTGATGTATTATGACAGCTGGCGCCAGCCCACCGGCTAACCAAGGTTACCTTATGGTATTTATTTATTTGTCATGTAGAGGAGTTTTGAGTTTTTCAATTATAAAATCTCAACGAATGTGACTATAGTACAGTAATGCATACAAGCACCTAACCAGGCATCACACAAGGAGTTTTGAATTTATGTATATGTACAGTGATCCCTCGGTTACCGAGCGCCTCGGTTAACGAGATTTCAGTTAACGAATTACCTTCCATAAGAATCTTAACTTCGGTTAACGAGCATTCCCTCGATTAACGAATTCCTTACTAGCGGCCCCCAACATGTTTTCGCTTGCACACCAGCTGTCGTATTATTCCGCCAATACAGTAATCTGTTCTAGGGCTTAAATTCCTTACCATTTTAGTAAATATCAAGAAGGTTGTACTATTCAATCATTTTAAAAGTCTTATATTAAATTTTCTAGTCATTTTAACAATTATTGAACATAATTGAAGTACAGGAAACTAGTTTTATGCACGCCAAACAGCGTGTCAACACACCAAACAGGCGTCAGTCTCTGTGTCTTTTCAGTGGAGCTAACATCTTGCTTCAGACTCTCTTCAACATAAACACCTTTTTTTTGTGTTTTCAGTCAAATTATTGGTCATTTTGAAATTTATTTTACATATTGATGATATAAAGTGCAGTGCAGTGTTAATTTAAAGAAAATATTCTTTATTTACAGCAATTAAACTTAAAAATATTGTGTTGAGATTGTGTTTGAGTCCAGAATGGGTCCCAAGAAATCTAGAAAGGCGATTTCAATTCAGATGAAACAGAAAATAATTAAGAAACATGAAGAAGGCAGTAGAACATGTGTGCTAAGCAAAGAATAAGGCATGTCGACATCAACTGTGTCGACAATTCTTGCACATAACAAATTCAAAGAAGTGAAAGTGAGAGACAAATCTACCAGAGTGTTCAAAGGTAGATACCTAATAGCAGAAACTGAGAGGTTACTTCTCATCTGGATTAGGGAAAAACAGATGAAAGGTGATTCAGTTTCTACTGAATTTATTTGTGAAAGAGCCAGGGAGATTTATGAACATTTAAAGACAGATCAATCTGGTTCTTCAGGCACAGACTTTGAAGATTTTAGGGCCAGCAAAGGCTGGTTCGAAAAATTTAAGAAAAAAGTGACAAATTTAGTGTAGTTAGGCATGGTGAGGCTGCCAGTGCTGATAAGCAAGAGGCAGCAAAGTTTTTAGTGTACGTGTACGTACGTATTCGGTATGTTTAATGAATCTAGTCTCATTAAACATACCAAATCCGTCAACATGAATTTGAGTAATGGTATGTACAAATTGGATAATTTCGTAATTAAGAAGATTTGTAACCAGGTGAGAAGGTGGGGTCAGCTTACCCTCTGACCTGACTACCTACCGCTGCGGTGCCTTTGTGAAGATTAATAGGGTCATTACCTATACCTGACCACTGTGGACTTGATCTCACCCTCCTCTGTATATATATATATATATATATATATATATATATATATATATATATATATATATATATATATATATATATATATATATATATATATATATATATATATATATATATATATATATATATATATATATATATATATATATATATATATATATATATATATATATATATATATATATATATATATATATATATATTACAGTTTTGTACTTATCCTTAGTCTGTATGAAGATGTGAATTACAGCGCTTGGGAACTTGTTTTTTTTCCTTGTTATTTACATGTGTATATATATATATATATATATATATATATATATATATATATATATATATATATATATATATATATATATATATATATATATATATATATATATATATATATATATATATATATATATATATATATATATTTATACTGTATATATTTATACTGTATATATACAGTCATGCGTCGGTTAACGTCCTAGATACGTTCTTGGAAACGTGACGTTAACCGAAATGGACGTTGTCCGGTCGTCAAATAAACTTTGTATTTATACTTACGTGTCCGTGGAATACTATATACATACATATGCACTTTTACTCTTAAATCACTACTGTAATGTGATACAGGTGATTAATTTTTATCTCTTGTGCAAAATACATGACGTTTATATTAAAATTATTCACTGTTTTACAAGGATTCCAGCAAAGCTGGGCAGATGGGGGAGAGGGAGGGAGCGAGCGAGCGAGGGGGCGTGAGGGGGGAAGGGGTTTGACAGTTGGCACAGGCCCAGGTCTAACGCATGTATATTTATCAGTTCTTAAGTGACTAAGCTTCTCTCTTATAAAAAGCCAGTGAAATGACCTGGGTGAATATAATTTACATTGCTGGGATTCTTGTAAGATACTGATTAATTTGAATATAAGCATCCTATAATTTGCACTAGACATAACAATTTTAGTACCGTAATCAAATTAGTACACGTACACTCCAGCTTTGCACTAAGGTCATTTATTTCTTTTGCATTTCTTTTAGTATGGTGTGTGCATGTAAATGGATGAAAATAAATGAAGAAATTTATGTAAATCTACCCAAAAATACAGTTGAAAACCTTATATTATAAAAAGTACTACAGTATTGTACACTGATGTACTACAATTTGTATCTCTTGAGCAAAATATATGACGTTTATATTCAAATTAATCTTTGTCTTGCAAGGATTTCAGCAATGCAAATTATATTCTCCTTTAGTCTGAGATATTATATGAAAAATTTAAGGCCTAAAACCCCCCACTCGAGGGAGCGGGGGGGGGGAGGAGGGGAGCGGGAGGTAAGGTGATATGATTTGACAGTTGGCGCTGAAGGCCTGCGTGTTTATTTATCATTGCTTAAGAGTGACTAAGCTCTTCTCATAATCTGCCACCCAAACGACCTGGGTGAATATAACTTACATTGCTGGGATTCTTGTAAGATAGTGATTTATTTGAATACCTGTATAAACAAGCTATATTTGCAATAGACATAACAATTTTAGTACCGTAATCATGTAGTACATGTACAGTACAGGTTTGCACTTAGGTCCATTGTTAACCGAGGGACCACTGTATTGCAGTGTACTTGTACTGTACAATATTGACTAAATTCACTACATAACGTACACAACTAATGGTTGGTAAAACTTGTCATGTAAGTGAGTGTCAAGTCTGTCAGTATGAGTGCTTGTGTGAGTGATTGTGTCCCCCATCATAGGAGTCCGTTTTCTCTCGCTTCAGGACGCCTGAGCCCTCCGTTTTCTCTTAATCTTGGAGTGCACCAGAGACTTCGTTATTTCTTAGTAATGACAAAGAATTTGAAATTGCAACCCCAGTTGCAACTGGGGTTGCAATTGTTGAGGCAACTAGATATGTCTGATTACAGCAAATGTGTTATTGTCAATTTGTATGTGAAAGATTTTTTCCTCAATAGATGTAGGTTAACATTACACCTTGAGGCAAATGCTTAAAAAAAGCCTAAGTAAGGAAGCATATTCCTTTAACACATAATATCTGGCCAGTATGGGGAGGATCATCGTGTCTCCGTCAGGGGGTTGTGGATTTGTGGTCCAGCAGGTGTCACGGAAGTGGGTTTTTTTTTGGGGGGGGGGACGTATATTTGATTGGACGTTGTTCGGTTGGACGTTAACCGAACATGACTGTATATATATATATATATATATATATATATATATATATATATATATATATATATATATATATATATATATATATATATATATATATATATATATATATATATATATATATATATATATATATATATATATATATATATATATATATATATATATATATATATATATATATATATATAGTTTTTTTGTAGATCCACAATGAAAATGTGGATAAGATAAATCTTGATAAAATCACACAGGAAAAAGGGAAACAATGGAGCACCTTAGCTTTTGTCTTTATGCAAGACATCTTCAGAGGTAACTGAATTACACGGACAGAGAGAGGCTTAAGTACACGGGGTGACCTTTCTAAACATGAGGTTAGGTCATAAACATGACATCCACTAATCCACACACCAACAAAACCACACACCCAAAGGAGCTTGAATGAAAGGGCGACGTAACTTGTCATGTTAAGTCGGGTCAAAAATATGGGACCCACTAATCATCTATCCTACATCTAACTCGAATGCTTTCAAAGCATTTTTAACCTTGGGCCACTGACAAATATATTTGTGTTACATATTATCAGTTTTGTACTGACCATCACTAAGGTTTATAGAATTCAATTCTCTAATCAAACTTGCTTCACTCAGAAGTCTTTCTGTGACACATGATGATTTATACACTTCTAAGCTGTTTTCCCAATCCATGGGACGATTATTGTTCCTAACATGAACGAACAGTGCACTGCTTTCAGGTACTGTTCTAATATTGTACTTGTGCTGTTTAATTCTGAGTTGCAATGCTTTCCCAGTCTGTAATTGTAATGGAAATTATGTAGGACAGTGAAAAAATTCAATTGTCAGTATGAACATAATAGAATCTAGTCTCATTAAACATACAAAATCTGTCAACATGAATTTCAGTGCAGTAATGGCATGTACAAATTGGGTAATTTTGTGATTCAGAAGATTTGTAACCAGGTGAAAGGGTTGGGTCACTACTTGATAGCTTGAATATGGTGGACATCTGCTCTCCCCCTGGGACTTGATCTCACTCTCTTTTACTGTATATATTAGCCTTGTCGGTAACTACTGCTTTGCCTGTACTCACCCCTGAAGTTGTGAATTACATGAAAATGTTTGGGAATTTCATGTTTTCTTTTTTTCCTATATGGTTATCAGCATATACAGTACATTGATCACACGGCACCTACAGTGATTTACTTCCATATACATGTATAGAATCATTTACAGTGTTATATTTTTTCCAGTTCGTGGTATCCCTCAACCTGTAGTTTCTGCTGGACCTGTCACAACAGCAACCAGTACTTCTGCACAGTCACCACCAGTGCTAGAGGAGTGGCAGGTACCACTCAAATTTCGCAGAGAAGCAATTTCGGAAGAAGAGATTGATTATATAAATGTAAGCTGCAACTCTTCTTATTATGATCTAGTGAATTCCTGCCTTAGCATGTCAGATCACTTAAAAGTAGGTAACTGGTGTCATATACAGTACAGTATGGCTTATTTAAATACCGCTGTTTCAGACCCTTTGTAGATATTCCGTTATAGCAGATAGCACAGTAGCTCATTTACCTAGGCAGCACCCACCCACAGGGTCATTTCTACATACCCAACTACACGACATACTGTATCAACAACAAACTCAAAGAATTATGTTTAGCATAATGAAATGATGTTAATGATAGGATATTATATTTTGTAACATACCCTATGTGTAGCTATTCAAGGAATTAGCTGAAGTAGCAAAGACATACTGTACCTGTACTGCTAAAAATACAGAACACAGTTAGCAAGCTTGATAAACAGGTGTAAACACTGAGCCAACTGCAGGAAATGTGATTGACTTGGAGTGGCCTGGTGCTTTCCAGCCTCACTGCAGGGATACATAAGGGTTAAATCAGATGCAAAACATTTGTGTATAGTATACAGTAAAACCTCGATAAGTCGGACTTCAATATATCAGAATTCACTTTTTTCGGATTCTGAGATGCTCTGGTCACCAGAAATACTGAAAAACAAAAACAAATTAAGAAATGGAGAAGATCAATAAAAAATCTTAAATGAACAGCACTTAATGAATACTGTACAGTGGTCTAATCAGATTTGCTATAGGCCTACTGAGAACTAAGACACTTGAGTATGTTAGCAGGCTGGGGCTGACCGGGTGTTGCCACATTTGTCAGGTTTATTTATTTATTGATTCAGTATTATATTCTCATATGATTGGCCTCTTATAGTTTATGGTTCATCATGATTAATATAACATTTTCAGCAATAGAGAAAAAATACAATACTGCATGTAATTTGTAATATGACTTGAAAATAAAAGGATAAGTTGTATCAGAAGGTTATTTACTGAAGATGTGTTCGTGTGAGAGCTTTCTGCAGACTAGCTTACAACAGGGGTCACTACAACACACTGTATAGTATTTGATATGAAGATACCTTACTAAAAACATTTACTACCTTTGAGTGTTATATGATGGCTCAATTTGGCTACTTATACACTTAGACAAATGATTAATGAATAAACCAGGGTATATGCAGATGCATAATACTTTACACTACAATATTATTTATTAAGTGGTGATAAATACACTACAATAGTATTTATTAAGTGATGATAAATACACAACTGTTCTGTACTAATTTACTTAGTGCTGAAGACAGACTTTGTGGTAAGCCAATCAGGTGTTTACTCTTTGTAAACAAATTAGTGTGAAATGACTCATGGTGTTCAGTGTGGGATTCTTTTTTCAGGAAAATTTATTGTTTTAGGATATTATTTTATCAACCTGGTACCAAATGATCATAAATTATATGAGAATTATGGTGAAATTGCATAAAGAAGTGTTAAAGGAATCTTGGGGGAGAGAGCACCCACCCGTGCTACCCCCCCCCCCTCCCCTCTGCCAGCTGCTCCCTGATAAACATTCGTCTTCCACATACAATATACTCCTGTACTTATTTGTTCTTATTTTTATCTTTATGGTACTGTACCGTACAGTGGTCCCTCGGTTAACGAACACAATTCGTTCCAGAAGGTCGTTCGTTAACCGAAACCATTGTTTCAATGGGATTTTGGGTAATTGGTTCCAGCTCACCGAAAATTACATACAAAGTAAAAATAAGTGCAGTAAAGTACACTTACTTTGAGGTGTGTATGTTGAAGGCTCCTGGTTGATGATGATGATGATGATGGGAATTACAAGTGAGGGTGGAGGAGAAGGGAGAAGAGAAGGAAGTGGGGGTGGAAGAGAAACCACCCCATGCTTGATGCTGTCATTTCACCCTTTAAATTTTAAGTTCACTTGGTGTAATTCAAGATTATTTTCTTTAAATCAACACTGCACTGCACTATATATTGTCAATATGTAAAATAAATTTCAGAATGACCAATAATTGTACTGTAAAAATGTAAAAATAGTTTATGTTCAAGAGAGCCACAAGCAAGATGTTACCTCCACTGACTAGAGATACAAACTGATGCCTTTGTGGGTGAGTCAAGTGGCTGTTGGGCGCACCAAAAACTAGTTTCCTGTACTCCAATTATGTTAAATAAGTGTTAAAATGACTAAAAAAAATTAATATAAAACTTGGAAAATTATTGAATAGTACAACCTTCTTGATATTTACTCAAATGGGAACAAATTTAAGCCCTAGAACCGATTGCAGATCCTCCCCGACTTCCGACCACCCATATTTACGACCTGCCTCAGTCGTACCAAAATTTGGTAAAATTACGTATTTTAGAGTCCCAAAGTCAGTACACAGACAAAATTTTCATTTGTAATTCACTTTAAAATGGCTGGCAAGCATAAAAATAAGTGTTTTGTGGTGCTGAGAAGAAAAAGAGGCACCCATTTTAGATTTTCTATGTTTTATTTAAGCATTTCCGACTTACGACCTGGATTTTGGCCCCTAATCCCGTCGTAAGTCGGGGAGAAGCTATACTGTATTGGCGGACTAATATTCCAGCTGGTGAGCAAGCGAAAACATGTTGAGAGGAATTCGTAAGGAATTCGTTAACCGAATTTTTTTCATTAACCGAATTGAATATTCTTATGGAAGGTAATTCGTTAACCGAAATTTCGTTAACTGAGGGACCACTGTACAAATTATAATCTTTATTCTGAGATATTATATAAGATAAAAACTGTAAGCCTAAAGCCCTGGCTGAGCAGATGGGGGTGAGGAGGGAGGGAGGGAGCTCTTCTCATAATTTGCCACCCAAACGACCTGGGTGAATATAACTTACATTGGAGGGATTCTTGAAAGATAGTAATTTATTTGAATACCTATATAAAAAAGCTATATTTGCAATAGACATAACAATTTTAGTACCGTAATCATTTAGTACATGTACAATACAGGTTTGCACTTAGGTCTATTGTTACTGTACAATATTGACTAAACTCACTAGATAACGTACGCCTGGCCGCACAATCTAAAAGAATATGCGATGCATACGTGACTGTGCCCGCTCTAGGTCCATTTCGGTTCGCTAGGTCCCATTATTTGATTTTTTTTTTTTTCAATTTAAATATTAATTGTTTATTCCTTGATAGATGAAGCGGGATGCTAGTGCTGTCACTTGGTACCCCTGTACCATAACACCAGAAGCAACTGGCCAGTCACAAGTATATACAGTACAGTAAAGTCATCCCTTGATTATCGCGCTTAATTGGGACCCCGCCGATAACGAAAGTACAGAACCTATGGGATTTATTCTTATTGGTTCAGGCACCCAAGACCCAACCCCAAGTTTCCCATTTTACGACCATTTAGACCCACTAAATATATGTACAGTGACCCCTCCGTTAACGAACTCAATCCATTCCAGAAGGTCGTTTGTTAACCGAAAAGTTCGTTAACCGAAACCATTGTTTCAATGGGTTTTTGGGTAATTGGTTCCAGCTCACCGAAAATTTCCTAAATTCAACAAAAATGGTAGAAAAGTTCACTTACTTTGAGGTGTGTATGTAGAAGGCTCCTGGATGATGATGATGATGATGATGGGATTTAGAATGGGGGTGGAGAAGGAAAAAGAGAAGGCATTGGGGTGGAAGAGAAGTCACCCCATGGCGCCATTTCACCCATAAAATTTTAGCTCTCTTGGTGTAATTCAAGATTATTTTTTTTAAATCAACACTGCACTGCATTATATATTGTCAATATGTAAAATATATTTCAAAATGACCAATAATTTGCTTGGAAACACAGAAAAAAAGCGTTTAGTTGAAGAGAGTCTCGAGCAAGATGTTACCTCCAGTGAAAACAGAGAGAGACTAACTCCTGTTTGCTGTGTTAAGAGGCTGGATGCCGCGCATTAAACTAGTCACTTTACCTTCAGTTATGTTCAATAATTGTTAAAATGACTAAAAAATTGAATATTAAACTTTTAAAATTATTGAATAGTATAAACTTCTTGATATTTACTAAAATAGTAAGGAATTTAAGCCCTCGAACCGATTAATGTATTGGCGGACTGATACTAAAGCTGGTTGCCCGGTCAGTGCAAGCGAAAACATGTTGAGGTCGGTTCGTAAGAACTTCGTTAACCGAATTGAAGATCCTTATGGAAGGCAGTTCGTTAATCGAAATTACGTTAACCGAGGTGTTCGTTAAACGAGGGGTCACTGTATAATGTTATGGTAAATATCATAAACCTAGCCATGCCAATGTGAAATGGGTACGCTTAATACTGTAGTCCACAAAACATGTAGCTATGCTTTTTTTATTTGGTCCCCCGTCATACAAGTCCGTTTTCTCTCACATCAGGACGCCTGAGTCCTCCGTTTTCTCTCTTAATCTTAGAATGCACCAGAAACTTTACTATTTTTAGTAATGCCACAGAATTTGAAATTGCAACCCCAATTGCAACTGGGGTTGCAATTGTTGAGGCAACTAGATATGTCTGATTACAGCAAATGTGTTATTGTCAATTTGTAGGTGAAAGATTTAACCTTAATAGATGTAGGTTAACATTACTCCTGGAGGCAAATGCTTAAAAAAAGCCTAAGGAAGGAAGCATATTCCTTTAACACACAATATCTGGCCAGTATGGGGAGGATCATCGTGTCTCCGTCAGGGGGTCGTGGAGTGGTGGTCCAGCAGGCGTCCCGGAAGTGTTTTTTTTGGCGGCGGCGGCAGGGGGGGGGGGCACGGACGTATATGCAATCGGACGTTGTTCGGTTGGACGTTAACCGGCGCATGACTGTGTGTATATATATATATATACAGTCAACCCTCGCTTTACGCGGTCCCACTTTACGCGTTTCCACGTTTACGCGGTACCCTGCCGAAACCGGAATGCTCACTTTCCGCGGTGTGTGTACCCTTTTACTCGGAGAGCGGCGCGAGCAGGGTGCGCACAAGGTCGCCCAGTCATCAAAACATTACCGAGTTCTTCACCCGCCACCCACCACAGCCGGCCCAAGTCAGTGATAGTGATAATGATAGTGAGGATATGGACTTTATGGACTTTGAGGGTTTGACAAAGAGGCCCTGCAAGCCTCTGTGGTGGATAGTGATACAATTGATACAAGTGATACAGGTGAGGGCCAGTAATCTGCCCTTTGCCTCGGAACCAACCCTCCATCCCCGTGTGCCCAGCCATCTTTTCTACTAATGTAAGTGTTAAAAAACCTAATATTATTGATATTTCTCTTAATTATTAATTGTGTGTGCATACCATCATAAAATTAAGAAGTTATTTTTACTACAACATAGGTATTGTGTCTGAAAAAATGGAGTTTGGGGGTCAGCCCGGTCTCTATTTCAATTAATCCCATATGTTATGTTGTTCACTTTACGCGTTTCTCACTTTACGTGGGCTGCCGTGGGTTGAATTAACCGCGTAAAGTGAGGGTTCACTGTACAGCTGCATTATCCTGAGGAAGTACATGGGTGGGAGAGAGGGTGGTAAGTAAGTTAGTATGAAGGAGTCACTTCAGTGGTGTACAAGAAGTGGTAGGGGGAGGACAGAAGTCACCATTACTCTTTTGTGGGAAGCAGTATACTGTACTTTATATACAGTAGTATGGATTGGTGTATACGATATTTACAAAAAAAAATATCTCATACTTTATAGATTATGAATTTTCTTAGTGAATACTGTAATGAATAGTAATAAATATGTATTGCTTCTTAATTTCTTGCCATTGTATTAAAATCCTTACAATATTTGTGTTTATATTTTCAGAGAGGAGGCCCTGCTTAGGAGAGACAAACTTTATATAAGATGTATGTATTGTACATAAAGGCAAATTCTCTTAATATTAAGTCATGCTGTGTTGCCCTTGAACATTAAAGAAATGAAATAAAATATTACATGTAAGTTTGTGTTTTATTTAGATGAATACAGTAAACTACAGTAGAGTAGTATACAGGTGCTCCCCGACTTATGACGGGGTTAGGGACCCAAATCCAGGTCGTAAGTCGGAATGGTCGTAAGTCCGACATAGATAAAAAATAATAAAAAATTAAAAAAATAATCTACAATGAAATACAGTACAGTAAAAGTAATAAATAATGAGGAATGGATACAGTACAGTGAAAGTAATAAATAATGAGGAATGGATACAGTGTGACTGAGTACTTACCTTTAATGTAGTCAGCTGAATGCACACGGGGCCCCATAATTTTCTAATTATACATGGAGACTACATTAACTGGAAGAAGCAGAGGAGGAGACAGGGCTGGGTGGGTCATCAATGTCGCTTTCTTCAGACAGGTTTATGTGCTGTGGAAACTTGCTGGTTGAAGGTATTGGATCATCTTGAGGGAGTGAAGAGGCAGCACTGGTGGGGTGTGAGGAGACAGCACTGGGGGACTTCTTAAAATAGATGTCCAATTTAGACTGCACAGTTTGCTTTTTCTTTTCATTATAAATTTCTCTGTCAACTTTGGCATAACGCTCATAATTTTGATCCATGCTATCAAACATGTGCATTCCTTTATTAATTGTAGCAAATGCCTCTGCCATTTGCTTCACTGAAAACTTTTTGGGGGGTGCAGGCCCTTCTTCTACATTTAGACTGGCTTCTTCCTCTGCATCTTTGTGTGCTTCCAGTTCGATGAGATCTTCGTTACTGAGCTCTTCTGCTACACTTTCAACCAACTGTTCAACATCTTCATTATCAATTTCTAACTGAAGCTGTTTACCTAACTCCACTATCTTGTAACTAATATCCGAAATAAATTCATTTTCATTAAATCCTCTAAAACTGTTCACATATCTTTTCAGGATTTTCTTCCATATTCCATTCATGCAATGTTTTGTAACTTGATCCCATGCTGCACTAATGTTCTTTATACATGAAAAAATGTTGTACTCCTTCCAAAACTCTCTGAGCGTTTTCTCACCTTCAGTAGCACCAACAGCCTGAGCGAAGGTCGTACGTAAATAATACGCTTTAAAGGCAGCAATAGCACCTTGATCCATGGGTTGGATGACAGAGGTAGTGTTAGGTGGAATGTACACTATCTTAACATCAAGATGCATGTCGTCCAGGTGTGGTGGGTGTTCCGGAGCATTATCCAAAATCAGCAAAATCTTGAATGGAATCCGTTGTTGCAGACAATACTCTTTGGCTCGAGGAATGGAACAATTCATGAACCAATCCTCAAACAGTACAATGGTCATCCAGGCTTTCTTGTTACTGCGATAAAACACTGGCAGTGTGTGCTTGCTGACATGTTTAAAAGCCCTGGGTTTCTCTGAATGATAGATCATGAAGGGCTTTAGCTTGAAACCAGCAACATTCCCCCCCAACAGAAGTGTAATTCTGTCCTTGAATGCCTTGAATCCGGGCATTGTTTTCGCCTCTTTGTGGATGTATGTCCGCTCAGGCATGCGCTTCCACAATAATCCAGTCTCATCCACATTGAATATTTGCTCAGGCAATAACTCCCTTCCACAATCACATCATCTAACCCCTCCTTAAAAGCTTCGGCAGCACCAACATAAGCACAAGCTGCCTCTCCTTAACATTGTGTAAACTGTAGCGTTTTTTAAATCTATTAAACCACCCATGACTTGCTGTAAAGGTTTGCTCACATTCAACTCCTGCCTGCTCCTTCAGGCTTTGGAACAGGCTTCTTGCTTTAGCCTGTAAGGTTAGAAGGCTTAAGGGTACACGCTTCTGTGTTTGGTCTTCTATCCATATCACCAATAATTTTTCCATATCGTGAATAGGACCTTGTCTTTTCTTTGAAATTATAGTTCCCTTTGTAGGTGTTGTTCCTTTCACTACATCACGAATACGTTTCTTGTCCTTCAGAATAGTGGATATGGTCGAGTGCGAGAAACTTAGGTCACTTGAGATTGTTGCTACAGTTTTTCCATTCTCATATTGCATTATTATCTTCATTTTCATCTCCTTTTCTTTGGAATACCACCAGCACTCTCACTTGTATGCTTTCCAGTCATTATAAAGTCAATTAAATACGATAATAACGTAAGTTCACAGCGCGATCAGTATAGGATACGATAGCCAAACACCAACTAAGCGCTGTACTGAGTGAGTGTACCCACGCGGTGACCCAAGCCACGCTCTCGCTCAGGACGGAAACGTTTCTGTATAGAAAATGCGCGCGTCATTTGAAAAAAAATTTGGTCGCGACAATCGTAAGGTCAGAGCAGGTCGTGTTTTTTTTTGTTTTTTTTACGGGAATTAGCCCACCCGGGCACAGGTCAAACGACCCACAACAGAGTCTGGGGGGCGAAAAAAAAGAACGGAAAGAAATTAAAAATATAGGAAAAAAGGTTATACTGTATTAATCTACACCACGAAGATGCCGGAAAACCAGCTTTTTAAAGTGAGACAGATTGTAAGAGCATGGAAACACAGAAGAAGGCAGAGCATTCCACAGTTTGGTTGTGTGAGGAAAGAAGGAGGTACTATAACAGGTTATTCTCGTGTGACCGACATCCACAGAGAAATGGTGGGCACCGCGGACAAGACGTGTGTTACGAACCCACGGCCTTGCCAGCGGTACACAGGATGCCAAATCCACTGAACATTGCCCATTAAAGTACCTGTAAAAGAGAGAGTGAAGCAACATTGCGGCGAAGAGAAAGGGGAGAGAGATTGTCGACTAAAGGAGGAGAGTTAATAAGACAAAATGCCTTTGATTCCACCCTATCTAATAGTTGGACAGAAGAAGAGCCACCCCAGATATGAGAGCAGTACTCCAAGTTAGGACGAATGAATCCCTTATATACTTGGAGCAACTGCTCAGGAGTGAAGTAGCTGCGGCATCTGTACAGCATTCCCAACTTTCGGGAGGCAGCTTTAGTTATACTAAGGATGTGTGATTTCCAGGACATATTGGAGGAAATGGTGAGGCCTAACATATTTATTTCAGAATTTGGGAGGATGATAGCGTCCTGAAATGTAATTGGTGGGAGATCGTCTACTTTACAAAGTGTAATTGGTAAATATTGAGTTTTGTTACTATTGAACTTAACCAAGTTTGTATCTCCCCATTCAGAGATGCTGCACAGATCCGCGTTGATAGAAGTAATGATATCAGTTCTAGAAACAGATCTAGTTTGAGAGTTAGGAGGAAGGGGAAAATGTGAGGAAGAGTGAAGAGTAGAATCATCGGCGTAAGAATGGATAGAATTAGTTGTAGTGTGAAGTAAATCATTGATAAAAAGAAGAAAGAGAGTTGGTGAAAGAACAGAACCCTGTGGGACGCCACTATTGGTAGAGAAAGAGCGAGAAATCGATCCCTCGACAACAACTGCCATGGATCGATTCTCAAGGAAGCTAGAGATGAGAGAACAAAGTGGGGGAGAGAAACCAAAAGAGGGAAGTTTAGATAGCAAAGACTTGTGCCATACCCTGTCAAATGCTTTGGAGATGTCGAGGGCCACGACAAAAGTTTCCCCATAATCCCTAAGAGAGGATGACCAAAGATGGGTGCAATAGGAGAGCAGATCACCAGTAGATCTCGCCTGGCGAAAGCCATACTGGTGATCCGACAAAAGAGAAAGGCGTTTAAGGTGACGGAGAAAATGGGAGTTCAAGATAGTTTCGAAAATCTTGGAGAGTGATGAAGTTAGGACAATGGGGCGATAGTTAGAGGGATTAGAATGGTCACCCTTCTTCGGGATGGGCTGAACCAAGGCATGCTTCCAAGAAGAAGGAAAAGTTTTGGTTTTGAGGCAAAGGCGAAAGAGGCGAGCAAGCACAGGGGCCAGGGCTTCAACACACTCCCTCAGAACACGAGGGGGTATTCCGTCCGGTCCATGCGCCTTACTCACATCCAACCTGGATAACACACCGGCAACCCTGCGAGTGGAGATTGTAGGAAAGTGCATAGGTTCAGTAGAAGGTGCAGGGGTAGGAGGGATAGAGTGGGAATCGTCTAAGGTGGAATTAGAGGAGAATAAGGTGCCAAAGAGGTTGGCTTTGTCAGGGGGAGAGTTGGCTATAGAGTTATTGGGACGAAAGAGGGGAGGAAAAGAAGGCGTGCAGAAGTTGTTACAGATGTATTTAGTTAAGGACCAGAAGGATTTACTAGAGGAAGAATTAGTCAGGACAGCGGTCTTTCTTTTAATAAAATTCCGCTTGGCCCTACGAAGAATAGCCTTACAACGATTCCTAGAAGTAATGAAAGAGGTGTGGGTAATAGGAGAAGGAGATAGTTTCATAACTCGATATGCCCTATTTCTCACCCTGCAAGCAAGAGAGCAGGAGCGATCAAACCATGATTGTAATGTGAAAGTTTTGGTAGAAGATGGGGTAAATGTGCTCATACCGCCCTGTATAACCCCAGCAATGCTGCCAGCACATACTGAGGCATCCCGAGTGGAAAAGCAACATTCATCCCAAGGAAAGTCAGTGAAGAATTCTCGCAAGGATTGCCAGCTTGCCCTCCGATAGTGCCATAGTTGATGTATAGAGGGGGTTGGGGAAGTGGTCGTGCCCAGTTTGATTTAATAGAAATAAGGTTGTGATCAGAAGACCCTAAGGGGGCAAAAATTGAGTATGAATAGTGTGAGGGGGTTAGAGGTAAAACAAAGATCAAGAATGTTAGCAAGTTGATCGTGTCGATCAGGAACGAGTGTAGGGTGTTTGATTATTTGTTCCAAATCATTAAGTAAGGAAAAAGAGAGTGCCTCCGCTCCACCTGGGTCATCCCTTGCAGAGCCAAGCCACTCTCTGTGATGTACATTGAAATCCCCTAGGTAGAGGATCTCGGTGTTGGGGTGTGTGGATAGCAACGACTCATGGCAAGAAGTGAGATAATCAAAGAGTTCGAAATAGTTGGTAGAGTTGGGAGAACAGTATAGGAAACAAAGAAAAATAGTCACAGTAGGTAGAG